AAAAAAAAAAAAAAATCCATCTGTTTTCCTCTGGTTGAAACTCTTGGCTTATATCTATTCCTGACCCTTTTCAAGGCAATGAAAATGTACTTTGAGAAGCATACTCTGTATTTGGTCTGTATAATGCTCAAGTAGAATGAACTACAAACAATTCTTTTCCAAAGCCAGATTACCACAGAGTTACCTAGCAGTTTTATATGTAAATTTAAAAAAGGCAAGCAATGATGTATTTCTTGATGGAAGGACACAGCAGCACCTGTGATGTACTTTTACCAAAAAAATTGAATGTAAGTCAGATCAAGTCTCTAGATCGAACTACCAATTTTTAGTATAACCAGAAGACAGAGGAGTGTGTTAACTATACAACTGGGATAGATATCAAACCACATTGTGGAAACTGTAGGATAAAAGTCCAGTTTCTGCAGCAGATAAAGGGCAAGTGAAAAATTAAAAAGATACAGGAGGAGTCTACAGATGTATCACTCAAACATAATCTGTGGATCTTATTTGGATCCTGATTCAAGCAAACAAATTGCACAAAAAGACAAAAAGCAAAAAACCAAACTAAAATCTTTTATAGCATTTATGGGACTGTTGTAAATTTGATTACTGTGTGGATATTTGATATTGAGGAATTGTTTTTTTTTTTTTAAGAGATAATGGTATTAAGGTATGTTATTTGTATGTATGGTTTATTTTTTGTTTTTAAAGTATTCTTTTGAGTTGTATACTGAAATACTTACAAATGAAATGTTAAATTGCCTGGCATTTGCTTAAATCTCATTTGGGAATGCGTGGAGATCCAGATGAAATATGATTGCATAAATGTATAACATCAAAGTTAACTGATGGGTTTTGTGGTGGTTCATTATATTGGTTTATTTTTAGATATCTATTTGAAATTTTTTGAATAAAAAGCTAAAAAAGTTACAAGTAGACCAGTTTGTCTTTAGGTTAAGGTTTAGTTTTTCAATTTTTGCTACGTTGTTATCAAATTAGAAGAGTTACTTGCGTGGTCATGTTCAGGTCTTGGTCTCACTAGCTGTGAAGACTTTTTCTGAATGATCTAGTTCATTTATTGAGATTAAAGCCTTGGCGTCATTTTCATATGTTAATGTTTTGATAATAACTCACTGACTATATCAGTGTTACATCATATATTCTTGAAGTAATTTTTTATTGCTCATGTTGTTAGTGTGATGAGCAGTTTGTTTCCTAATGTACTTTTTTAATTTAATTT